AGTATTTACTTACACATTGATAAAATTGTCCTCTAGTTCCTCCAGTATAAAATCTTTTACCATCAGGATTCCATGCACAGCAAGTTAAACTATCATCAGGTGACTGACTCATACGACATTTCAAATCTCCCGACTGGAATAATAATAACATAATTATTAATGAAATTACACAACCTGTTGCAAGGGAGCTTGTTTTGAATCAGAAAAATGACAGACATCAACTTTAATCAATTTTATTCATCTTTCATGATCTTTATTTTTTTGTATTTTCCTTTGTTTCGTTCATTCTTTTCTTTTCACAACTAAAATACATCTCTTTCATTCTTCTTTCCATCCCTGCATACTATTTTAATTGCTTTCCTTTGTGCAACCTTTATCAATTTAACACTATTTTTTTCCTGTTTTTCAAACTAAACCTCTTACTTGTACTTACTTCTACATTCCATATCCACAGTTCAGCACAGTCCTCTGGCCCACAAGCTATTAAATAAGTATCATCAGGACTCCAAGCCAAGAAGGCTACACCATATGAATGACCTTCTAATGTCCTGGATAGTTTAGGTACTTTTTCCTATAGAGAGGAAACAAATAATATAAACATACAACTCTAGAAACAGATGAACCTCAACTAAAGAAAAAACAATTCTAGGGAAAAAGGGATGAATGAAAAAGGAGAAAATGAAATGAAAATTCCAAATAAAACACAAAATTGAGCCAATAATTGGATTAGCCTTGGTTACATGCATGACATGATTTTATACCTGATTCAAAATTGTGTTTTATCAAGCATGAAAATTCATTTCTGTTGTTTGTAATCTTTATATCTGATAAAACACTCTTTAAACTTTTGCTTTGTTTAATTCTTAGTAACAGTACTTACTGTCATATCCCATATTATGATGTTACCATCCTTGGCTCCTGTAGCTAATCTTTTACCATCATGAGAAAATTTAACAAACCAGACCTGACGATAATGAAAATACCAAGAATTATGGTATCTCTACAATTATAACTCACWATCTAATGATAATTAATGTTATATCACAATAAACCTACCTCATCACAGTGGTCAGTAAGTGTATATTTTGCTTCACATGGAAACTGCTTCCTAAAATATAAAATATGCTACTTGTAAAATCTCATTTTATTCCTTGATAACTAAAGAAGCACAAATAATACATAAATGTGGCTAACTTACTGCACATGAAATAAAATCTTAACCWAAATAAAATGACTCTATAACTTGAATAAACAATAGTCTTTGAAGAATAGTGATCAAAGTCCATGTTTAAAACTTTTCAAGGAAAATTATCTGTAAAGTGTACCTTGTACATAGATGGTCTGTTAGAAGKGAAAATGAATGGAGATCAGGTTCTTTGAGAGTGTTGTGGAAAGGACATTTTTCTTTCTGCAGTTCTACTGCTTGTGACAAGAGTGTATGAAGTCTGTGAGGAGGTAACATGATAGATGCTGGTAGAAAAGCTACAAAAACAAAATATTATAGATTAGAGAGATAAATATCAATATATAACAAATAAATCAATAAATCTTTCCACTCATTCACAGCCATATAATGCAGACTATAGCTTATCCTTTTCATCTTGAGAAATGTTTATAAATGGTTTTCAATCCTTTCCACAAAATGGCATCAAAGACAAAAAAAACATGAAAGTGGTTTTTCATCCTTCAATACACCAAAAATATAGCCACAAATTCTTTGGTATTAACTCTTAGAAGAATGATAGCAAACCAACGATTTGTAGTTGGTTAACAGACACAATAGATTTAAATATCTCATTTTGCAACCTTTTGTCATGATCATATCACTCTACAGTATCAAATGACAGAAAGTTACTGAAAAGAGGTTAAGTCTTCAAATTGCACGTCATTCAAAAGCTAAATCACAGAAATTAATCCTGTCTGTGGCCATATAACTAGGATTTTAATTATTACAGTACAAGATAAATCAATTTGTTATTGTTTTCACAAACACATGTGCCATTCTCATGTTTTGAAATAAAATTGTAATTAATCATGTTTTTAGTACTTTTTCTTCAAGAGTAGAAAGTGATATCATTGTTTACCGAGTCACCTTAATATGACTAGTATTATCTTGAATAARGGTTAAAACTACTGTACATGGCCTTTTAGTACAGATAGTTTTCTGCTATCACTGACAAGAAAGCCACAAAAAAATGCAATAGGAAAACAACTTAGATCCATCAATACTTCTACTCAATTTTACTATATTATAAACGACCATCAAGTATTATTACATCTTAATTTAATGGCCTCCGATGGCTTTATATGTGTTTTTGAAGTCTTTTATGCACTTACACTGCAGTCTGTCCATCAATTTTTCTCTTGAGACTGAACCTTTTCCATTCCAACTGGCTCTTTCATACAGTTCCTCTGTGCTTGAGCACATTATCAACCTGTATATCAAAAATCAAATTTARGGAAATTAGTAGATATAATACATAAGCCATACAAAAGAACGCTTCATTGGTTTCAAATTGTCATATATAGATCAAAGCRATAAGCACAAGTCTTAATTTGCTTTAAAATGAAGTAAAGACCATGTATGTCTATCATTGCTGACACTCATCAAAGATTTAATACCAAGATAACTAAATGCATTGGTTAAGTCAAGAAAATAATCATTATTTCTATACAAATATCAATAGATGTTTTCAAGCTTCAATAATTTCTTGATTTTTTKATATTATGAGTATCTTGTTAAAAAGATTGCAAGAAATAAAGGTTTTCTTGGTGGGAGACAACTGCATGCTATTAAGACAGTTATTTTCTTCTGATTARTAATTCTATTCAATAACACTTTCACACTAATGAAAGGAAGAGCTGGAAGTACACGACAAACTCAGACGTAAGGGAAAATACATGTAATAAATAATTTCCAAGATCCATCATTTTGTTGTTATGGGTGTCTGACAATTTGGACAAAAACCGTTCTGAATTAATTTTTTTTTAAATCTGTCTGAAATTAATTATAGCCCAATAACAATAAGGACCAACAGGAATAATTTCACTAGATGTTTGACTTTTGCAAACATAAAGTTAGAAATAGATATTTGTATGATTCTACAATTGATTGTGGTATATTGTACCGGAGTTCTTTGGCCRCAGGCTCAGGAAATAATATTTAACAATCAATAATATTGTTAGAATCATAAAATGTCTATAAGCATAGGAATACATATTCAAATCAGAACAGGTTAATGCTGTTGAATACAAATATAAACCAGCATGACCACTGATGGCTACAGGTTCTCAGCAACCATACTGGATTTCTAGAATTACATTAAATTAAACTTTAAAACTGTGAAGATACCAATTCAGTCAAGTCATTTCAATAACATCAACTTACAGCCATCCAGGCATGTTGATATAATATCAGAATGACTCTCTCATGACATGATTATTAGATACAGTAAGGCAAGGTATATCAAACTGGTATAGGACCATATACCAGGTTGTGGTTAGTGTTTATGCACACCAGAATTGTATGTAATAGTTGGTACAGTTCTTGATTCTCTACAAGTAAAAGCCCTACTAACCCACTCAGTTGATGCAACCGTTCTTTATTGTATTTCAAAGGAGCTAGCTCAGTTCTGAGGCAGTGTAGTGCCTCTATGGGCCGATTTTCTTCCAAATACTCAAGGAATTTTTGCTCCAACAGGCAAAACCTCATTTTCTAATAAAGCAGAACAAAATGTCATTAAAATTATTTTTAAAATAAATTACTTTTAATTAATTTGATGTAAGAAATAGTCTTGTAATAATATTTTGAGTTTCTTATAATAGTATAGATAAGAATTATAATGATTGTGCCGTTAAAACAAGACGCTACAAAATCATAACAAAACAATCCTTGAATATTTCCTCTTCGACAAAGAACTATTCTAGGAGGAAAAACAAACTATTGATCATTACCGATATATCTTCTTTCCTTTCCACAAGCTTTTTCAATTCTTTCAGGATCCCGTCAGCCTGTAAAAGGRATAACAGCAGGATCAGAAAGATGTTTGATCAAATTATTTCTCAAGTTGAAACACAGACCTTATTCCAATCGCCAACCATTACACTTTGTCGAAACTTGGCAGCCGAAGGGTGCTCAAGTCTGCATCCAGACTCTGTCATCAAAGCTTCTACGGATTGACTGTCGAAATAATTAAAGAAACAAAAGCAAGAATAAATCCCCTTGGCTACAAAACACATCACAACACACGACGTCAACAAAGAAATAAAAATTTCTCAAAGGTACAAAGACAAYGTTAACACGACTCACTCAAGTCCCAAGCCTTGTAGATACTGGCCGACCAAACGGACGACATCCTCCTCTACTCTGGACAATAACTTCTTCTTCAGAGGCGATTTACTATCGCCATTGGCTATGTGCTCTCCGTTAGAAGTGCTTGCTTCCCCATCTTCTCTTGTTGAAGTCCGTTTTGATCTGTGCATATCGGACTCGCAGTCGAAGGATAGGCGTGCCCTTTTTTGTGGTGGTGGAGACAGTCCACCTATCTGTTCGTCGTCAGAGGAGGCCAGGGTAGCAGATGACCTGGTGGAGAGCCAGATTTGCTACAGTTTAGACCCACGAACAGCACAAAAACTCAGTAAAGAACAGCTACAAAGGACTTCATCAACTCCAAAACCTTTTCTTCATATTATGAATTGACGTCACTTGGCCGCGAAAGACTGGCCTGATTACTGCCAAATTTGGCAAAGACAKACAAAACCGAGATTGGAAATGAGGCAGTGAATGATTGGCAGCGTCAATCAAATGAAGCACTATTCGTAGCATTTCGTGACGCCTAGAAATAGAACACTGGTTCACGGAATCCATAATTTATCAGACGCTTTCTTGATCACGTTAGAGTTTCAGAAAATTTATTAAAAATACGAAATGTCATTTGACTATTTTCTTTCATATTTCTTTATTTAGAATGTCTTTTCCAATTTATTTATTTATCCTCTTAAATCTGTTTTCCTTTTTTCTAAGTCCTCATTCAAACGATATTGTGGTAATTAAACTTATGCTTTTATATCACTAATACTAGCATAATCGTGACTCATATGATTTTTACTTTCAAATCATGAGGGGTTTGCCCAATTCTGATATTTTTTATATTAATTTCGATTTCGTTTTCTTTCTTTCCTTCCTATTCTTATTCTGTTGTTGTTGTTGTTGTTGTTGTTGTTGTTTTTTGTATTTTTTTACTCTAACTTCTTTGTTATAATTTCTCTATTTTCAACATGAGAGCTCATGGGAGGCCTGTGCCAAAACAAACTCTCTCCATTCTCTCGCGGCCAGACTCCAAAGGCACATTTGTCCACGATGTCTTCTCGCATTTTGGGCCAATTATTAGGCCGTTTATATTTATCTAGAAGTCTTAGAACACTTGTAGTTGTAAGTACATGACTTATAGTTGTTTTTAGTCAATTCTGATAAGCTTTAACTGGGGAATTTCTTGGTTTTCAGAGACACACTAACCGGTGTTTTGGCAGCGCTCGCGCGAGTGCTGTGTTTTCAAGTGAGTTCAATATACTGTAACTTAGATAGTAATTATTGCAGTTATACTTCTTCATAAAGCGTCAACTATTTCTTAACTACTAACTTACATTTTGATGTTCCTCCTCGTAAACATTTTTTTCAGGAAATGGGAAGATCGTAAGTTTATGTGCTGCAGAACAAAGGTCAGTAGTAAAGCTTATACGTTATTGCTCTTGAACCAATCGGTTGCTCATGATTAAAAGTTTACTAATTTTCATGGTTTACTCATTAAATATGAGATGGATATTTCTAAATTTACAGTATTTAAAATGTTCTTGCAGCCATACAACACCTAACAGCTATGTATCAAGTAATTTTTACTGTGGATTTCACTCATCCGCGTCTCTTTGTAAGTTATTAGCTTTTCATTTCAATGTGAAGGAGTTAGTTTTAAAGTATTGGAAATATAACTAACAATGCTACAATGATAAGATGTCARATTTCTGTTTTGTTTTGTTTGTTGATTGTTGGTATGTGGTGAATTTCCTTATCCAGTATTTGCATATTAACTATGATTGGTTACTTGGTTGACAACCTGTGAAGTTGATGTAATGATGCAATAGGACAAGGGAATGTTSCACATACTATGCTCTTAAGAACATACCAAAAGACAAGCCAAGCAAACAGTTACAAAGAACCAAGAACAACCAAAACAAACCACTATATATTCAAATAAATATAATATTTTTCAATCTTTTATTTATTGGTGAATCTGACCCTAACATTATTTTTCTTCAGGTGAAGATAGTGTTGTTGTAAAGACACCACCATTTGCTGAATCCGTTACAGAAGGTGATATAAGATGGGATAAAGGTTAGTATTAATGTATTACCATTCAAGTAGAATGCAGTGATTTACCATGCACATTTAATAAATCAGTGTTTATAAAATTATCTTTGTAGCTGTAGGTGATGCTGTAGCTGAAGATGAAGTTGTTGGTGAGATTGAAACTGACAAGGTATGGATATTCAGCAGATAGGAAGTGATGGTTA